TACAGCACTTTTACATAAGTAATTACCTTGGCTAAGCTAAAGGTAAACCTTATCAAAAGTTTTCAGCTAACAAAGCCCACGGAGAGGAATTGTAAACCCCTTGTAAAATCTGTGTGGGAAAATATTTCGCCATCACACGAAATTCCGGATTGAGTCAATTACTATTAAAATTGGATTTCACCTGCGAAAATTTGCTGAATAACGGTAAATGTGACTGCACCTTTGTGCAAACGCCCCTAAACACTTCCATGATAAACGGCTTCCTTATGAGCGATTAGTCAGGCCACTGACTAGTCAATTTAAATATATATATATGTAATTCTATCAAATAAATAAATAAACATAATAAAGATAAACATGTATTAGCACATACGCTGCACACAGTGTCATTACTGTATACAGTGCATGTGCTACGTGCTACTTCTGCGGACCTCCTTCAGTACAGCACACTGTTTTGTCACTGATAGGCCTTATCACACCTTCAACTCACACCATAAGGGGCACAAGTGGAAATGACAGTGTGCGGGTGTGTGTGTGTGTGTGTTTGTGTATGTATGTCTCACAAAAGGCACTGCCAAGGAGTGTGTCCAGGCAGAACTAGAGCTGAGCCAGCTAGACTGGACCATCTAGTGCAGAAGAGCAATGCAGCAAAACGTACAGTACTGTAGTCTCCACTTCCCCTCATAAACTGTGAGCCTGTGTATATCTGAATGTGCAGACATACCCATTTTCCCTCAAGGAGCTCCTCGGGCTGCTGGATTACCCGTCACACTTAATTAAGCACTTGTTTTGAGATTAAACATTCTCATACCTCAGATGCCTTTAGGAAAAAAATGCACCTTTCAGTATCCGCTGCACCTCATAATCCAGATTACCAGTCAAACTGCCTTCATTAGAGCAGGCGTCAGACCGGTGGCTCAACAGAGGATCTTAGATCAAATAATGTTAAGTGGCCTCAGTCTGTATACGTCCCTGTGGTATTCCCCGCGCCTCCTAATCCCTGTCTTAACCGTAATCTGTTGTTGAGCTCAGCCTGTCTGCTGGAGGGACTCTAGCCAGCCAGCCTCCCTGGGTCTGAGCCATCACAGCCAAACCACAAATTTAATCAAACTAAATGGTTCACAACCTCAGTCCCATCAATCTGATCTCTCTGTCCCACTGGAGGCTGTGTTGGAGACAGAAAGAGACGGATATAGATAGTGGACAACTATAATGGGCCAATAGGGAGGGAAAGACGTGGGCAAATCAGCCCCAACGTTGCAGAAATGCACCTCGGGCTAAACATAAAGAAGGATAAAGTCTCCTACGACTTTGACAAGCCAGATATGAGTTATAGCAGAGAGCCCAACCACCAAAAATATACAACACGAGCCTATAGTGATCATATTACACTCACACCTAACCACAATCCAAACTCGACACAGGTGATAAGCAGGTTTTTCCCAAAGATTCAGGACACATGCACTAGCATGGTTTTCTTCCTCTATGCTTCGTATTGTGCTCTGTGGTTCCTCATGAGGGATTGGTTGTCTCTCCTCTGCTGTAAAAACTGCACACCCACTAGTTTTGTTTAGGTGGAGAAAACAGCTAAATTAGAGCTTTTCTTTTCTCTTTCACACACAAGAATATCATCAATCAGTTAAACATAAGACCAACAAGGCCAAAATGATACACGCTGCTTTTTAGAGAATTAACATTTGGTTCTGGCTAACACTGATGAGAGACTTTGGTTGATAATAAAAGATTCCAAGACAACCACAGCCTGGAAGAAGGGCTTGTAAAAAGTGAAACTGGCAGTAATTGGATATGACTTCAATAGCAAAAAAAGTCAAATTAAGTGTTTTCACAGTGACGGTATTTATTAGACCCGAATATAGTCATTCGGACTGCATTCATTTGTATGTAAGACACTGACTGAGAATGTAATGTTAAGTTGTTCAGTTTTTCAAGCAATTGCTGCATGCACATTTGATTTCATTTTGTTTGTGTGTGAGAGTAAACTGCTGCACTAACTTAAGTGGGCACAGTTCGGTTTTCCATTTTTTACTACACCACTGCAAATGTTAAAGCATCATGGCTTAATGAATTTATTTTTAAATTATGGCAAAACATCTGTTTGCTTTTACAGGGATAGTTTACCCATAAACAAAAATGCTGTTATTCTTTTTCTTTTCTTTTTTTGAATTTTGAAAGTCAAAACAACATTGGACCCTGTGTTTCATTGTATGAACAAAAAACAGACTTTTTCTAATATATTCTTATGTGTTCTACGTTGAAAGTAAGTCATGCGGGTTTGGAACGACATGAGGGTGAATAAATGATGACAGAATTTTGTTTTGGGTGTACTATCTCTAATTTTCCCTCAGACACACAAACCCACAGGCACTCACACACTGCTGAACATCATTAATATGTGATCCCTGTGTCAGTCTGACTGCAGTACAAATGATTGAACAGCAGTGGTGAGGAGGTCTCTCAACCATGTGGATCATTCTCTCTCTCTCTCTCTCTCTCTCTCTCTCTCTCTCTCTCTCTCTCTCTCTCTCTCTCTCTCAGACACACATACTAAAGAGTGACCGTCGCCACTGCAGGATGGCTGCGTCAGATAGCTTCTCCTCTTTACCCATGAAGGGGGCTTCACCCTCACATACACTTCCCATAATGCATACTGAGGTGTAGAAGAGATCCGTGCTCAACTCAACAACATTCAGTCTGCTGCTGCAACACTCACAAACCAAACACATTTACAATACTCCTCTCCTGAGAATTGACAATTTTTGCTGCAATCTCACTGCAATCATCATCTCACACATTTCTTTATATATATTCTCACTTTCCTTCAATTCATTCATCTATAGCCTACTGTTCAGATGTTAAGAGGTTGATCAACTGTGTATGTTTCACATGAGCAGCTGTAGCCTATAACATGATAAAGAATCTATTTCACTGACAAAAGTGTGTATTTGTTACTCAATTGAGGAAAAACCGGATGGAATTTAGCTTACATAGATATTTTATCTATGGAAGAGGATGATAAATTTGTCTATTCAGGATAACCTTTGAGTGAAACTAGAATGATTTTAGAGATGGCGACTGCATGGCGAGATTAGATGAGATAGCCTATACTATACCCACGTAAACCCCTAGTTTTCATAATGTTATCACAGCTCGACTGTCTTATGTAATGTTGCCGAACCTCGAGCGCTACAAAACCGCCATGAGCCGATAACGTTTGAGATCGTGTTGCAGCTTTCTCCTTTCACGTCTTCTCACACTTCATCCCAATACTGACTGACGTCTTAAAATTGTTCGCGTACGTGATGTAACACGCGACCATCTGACAAAATAACGCACCTTTTACGTTTAGTCCTATATGAAAGGATGAGAGAATACTTTTCCCAAGCAGATCCTGCAACTGGAGACATCTCGGGCTTTGCTAAATAACTACATCCCCCCATTACAATAAAGTACATGCTGCAGAGGCGCGCCATTCAAGCATCTCGCGCTGTCAAAAGTATCTATGAAGCGCGCGCTGGAGGGAACGTGATGTTCAGCGCAGAAAGAAGACACTGCAACATCCCCATTTCAATTATGGAATCGTCGTAATGTAAAAATACTTTAAGCCTGATCTTTTCTTCTTCTTCTTACAATTAATAATTATTTGTAATGAGTAGGCTATGTCCAAGTAGGGCTGGCTATCCATGTTACACTAGGCTATAGGAGTTTAAAATTGAAATATTTCACAAACTTCACCTGATAATGAAGGAAGTGCTTTCTTAGTAGGCAACTTACATCATATCAATCAAAATCACAATGTCATATACTATAGCCTTCAGTTCGTACTTAAAGCAATGAGGGGAATGGGTTAAAGGAGTCGTATCCACTATTGACGGCTATAGGCTACTAAATCCCGCATTTCAGAAATCCCTAGCTAATAGCGCACTCTTGCCTTGTTCCAAATCTCTAATCGCTTATCATTAGTTATTCATGAAAATTACCCCTCTCAGAGTGCGCTGGAGCAAATGTCAGTTGACATGTCGCCTCAGATCGCCAAGTAGGCTACCCAAAAAAAAAAAAACCGAATTAATCCGCACTTTTTGAGGGATGATCAATTTGACAACAGAAAAACTAGTAGATTAAATCTGTTCTAGTTTCTATGGAAACGTGTCAGACCACGGCTGCGCTCTGCCTTTATTCCTGAATAACTTGATTCAAGGGCATCTTATGTGTGGCGCTAGTGAGGTTACTATTTATAAAACCATGGATATAAGATGTGTCCCTCGAGAAGTTTGCTCTAAATTACTTTGGACTGTAATATCCTCGAGTAAAGCGCTACTGCTTTAAATGAGGTCTGTGAATGTTTGTAGCGTATAGCTTGGACGCAGTGTCCATGAACTACATGTATAGGCTATTCATCAATTGGTAAATACGTTACGTGATTTGAATCACATTTTAAATTTACAGACAATGCAAATTAATAAACCTAATTTAATTAACCTCATACACTAATTATTGTGTGGAGTTTATAGCCTATGCACATTGTTATACTAGGCTATAGGCTATAGGGAGCCTATGTGTAGCCTAATACTGATTTGAAAAAAAGCTCATAATGATATTTACATTGTTATGAGATTTTGGATTATGTCTCATTTGCGAGACTTAAAGTCAGATTAGATTGATCTAAGATCATTCACAATAGTAATCAATATCATGTTAGAACAACGGGGTTAGCCTACCTTTTAGACTACAATCCGGCTGGTTTGATTAAATCAGTCTAAGAGCTGGAACCCGTTCAATAAAACTCAGCACGTGCACAGCGAGATAGAACCTACAAATGATCACTTGACTTATGTTAATGTTTACAATGTGATTTTCCTGGCCAGTGTGTTGAACTGAAACATTGTAAGTGAATCATTAAAACATACAAATGGTGACTATCGCTGTTGTTGCTCTCCTGATAAAACGAACATCTATAGCTACCAAGAAAATGCCGGTCTTACCTGCTACGGTGTATCTGTCCATGTAATTGAGCACATTTCCAAAACTCAGAATCCCGGCGGCAACAAGCGGAGTCCGGCATCGGAGTAATGCGGCACGGAATTTTTGCCCAGGTTTGCAGGGATGCAGATCTGTACTGGATTTAAGAGTGGGACTCATGCTTCCAGACAGCGTGTGCACCACATCCGAACTGCTGCACCCCTCTATTTCACATCCATCGCTCTCCACGCACATCTTCTGCAACGACAGATCCAGCGCAACCGATTGAACGATTTCTGAACAGAGACAGGACGATTATGACGGAATAGTGTTGCACCTTTGAGCGGAAAATGAAAAAAAAAAAAACCTGTTAATCGCTTAGAATAAAAATAATTGATTTGATTATTGCTCGCTGAGCTCGGTTCATGTCTGTACAGTGACAGGATTGAGCGCTCGGGAAGCGCTTTTCTCTCACTCTGTAGTGTAGCCTATGTGTGTGTGTGTGAGGGAGGCGTGGTTGCGCGTAAGCCCATCCCACTCCGAGCGAATGAAGGAGCAGTGTGAGCGGAATGCTCATGTGAGAGAGGAGATTTTAGCAGTGACAGAACAGCGCACCCAGGGCGCTCGTGCAAAGTTGCTTTGTCTCTGTAAAATAATTATTCGAATAAACTCAACTGAAGTGAAACGTCCTCTAAAGGTGTAAATGAAATGAGAGCCATAAGGAAACATACATAGAAGCAGGTCATCATGGTATCAGGTTGACTCAATACCGAGTGCGAATTATGGTGGGCTTTGGGGGGTCTGACCCTCCCTACTAATCTTTAAGCCCTCCAAAGGATGTCAAAACAAATTGTTAGGCATCTTGCAAAGTACATTAAACCGGTTTAATTCTATAATTGTTCACAAAAAGGGCTTTTTAAACAACATTTTAAGCACATTCTCACTTGTCGACAAATAGAGAAAAGTCGTTCGACTGAGGAAAGTAACCATAGCAACAGGACGCCGCTCGAGGACTTTGGATGTTATTAGGATGCGTTAGGGGGACCAAGTATCCTGTCAAACGGACACGCCGGCAAGCACACATAGCTACATCTCGGAGACGTCTATTTGATGTGCGTGTTTTCATCTGGCAGACGGTGTGTTTTTTGTTTGTTTGTTTGTTTTTTGCTTATCTGCAAAATTACATTTCCTGTCAGATGATATATAGACATTTAGAAAACGTCTTCAAGATGTTTATGATTTATATGCAAAACTGACTTTTTAAAGATGTTTGTACACAGCAGATTCTTTCCAGATGAACCGCTCTTTAAAGACATCTTGGAGACGTAGGCTACGTGCTACTGTCTTTATATTATCACTCTATTTCAGATTGACATTCACACGTTTATCACTTGCCATATAATTCCTTGTGTATAATTCGCAATTAGGCTACATAAAATAATCATGTATGAAAATGAGAGTAATGATGCTGACATAAATTATATGAAACTGATCATTCATATTAAATAACTAAACACTGGAAAAGTATAATAAACATTAAATGGCCTCTTTAAACTTTTAAGCAATACAAAACATCTGGAATGGAATACCCGTTGATTGCAGTTAACTGTCAAAGTAGGCTACAATGTTTTATTACACAAAGTAGCCTATTTAGGACACAATATTTACTTAATTCTTATGGAAGGGTTTGCATGGGTTAAAACAGCTGTACTCAAGTAGTAACACAAGTCACCTCATCTGAAAGCGATCGTGGTCTTCAGCACTCTGGACAGCTCATTATTACGATCTAAAACCCTACACAGCCACACTGAATTATATCATAAACACTGTTTCACCTCATAGTATATTAAATTTACTGCATTTACTAATTAATATTTTGCTAAATATGTACTGGGAAACGGTAATAAGCTGACATTGCAAAATGATGCTTTGAATAGGGTAGAGAGTTTACTTCCTATATAGTGAGATTAATTAATTAAGGGGTATTATTGAGCACTTTTTGACTGATTTCATTGCCTGCTTTTCACCGAAACCCATCAATTAGCGAAGATTAGATCAAATCACGTCATTAACCTACATCTTAGTTTTCCCCTCCTTTCGTTAATGCGCTAATCACTTGTAGCCTATACAGCGCAAAATTCGTAAAATATTATGAAACTCTGGAGGACAGCAACGTGTCTAGCCCCTGTTAAAATGCCCATCCTTAAAATAAACAGTTTTCCCAAGGGTCTGAATATCCTTTCGGAAATATCAAATTATTTCCTGTAATTTTTTTTTACTGTAAGATTTATCTCGATCACAGAAGAGTCTTTTATGAAGTATGCTACGTGGGTCATTCTCATTCTCACGAGAGAAGGTTGAAAGATACTAGACAAATTATTGTCGCAAAGAAGAAAGTTATTCGTTGTTATTTTTCTCTTCATAATTCCCAGATCAGAGGGTATATGCTTCTTGTCAGAAGAAATCAAACTAAACGGGGTCATAAAGCTTAATGTGATGCTGTACTGCCACTTTAGATAGTAAAGACTTGCTAATTCAGTCATTCATAATTTTGTTTTTGTAACTTATGTGTTAAGTGTAAACTTAAGTGTTCATACAGCTCACAAAAATAACTCAACAATTTTAATTGCTTTTCTAAGCTGAATTAATACACATAATTATTTTTAAGTAAATTAATCCAATGGCCGTGATTTAAATGTGCCATCATTGTATCAATTGCCTAAGATTCCTTAAACTTTAAAAGTTCTATTCAAATTTACATCATAACAACACAAAACGAGTTACTAAATGTGTAAAACTAAAGAAAAATAAATACAAATGGTCGAATGATGCATGCCCCAGTGCATGCTGGGAAGAGGGCTAAAAAAAACAATCAGTGATACTATACAGTAATACATGTTTGTGATGCTTTCATGCAGTGTAACGTTGGGTCAATATTCTATCAGAATATACTGCCAGTTTAAATGACCTTGTGATCTTCAGTCACAACCTTCATGAGTGATTTGCATGCCAGCAAATCTCACATCCCTATGTACTGGTCACAGGCTGTGCAATAAGGAACCAAGCATCCTTTATCTGCCTCCTGCTGATATCAGCTGCTCTCTTGCGAAGGCTGGATCACAGATAAGTCAAACAATCCAAATGCCTAAAGTTACCTTTGTCATCCACTATTCCTGAGTTCCTGTTGGTTCTGCACTGCATGGGCTATCAGTATCAGTATGCATATGCCTAGACTGATAAATCAAAGAAACGCACACACTTAGGTTAGTTGTGTAAGTATGTGGGTATTTTTGTATTTTGTTGTTGTGGTTCATATCATTTATTATCACTGAAGGAAGCCTCTGTAACTCCTGTCCCCCAATGACATGATAAGCACTATAGAGACGGAAGGGGAAAGGGGCTAGTCCCGTTTGACTTCCACAATATCATTTATCTCCCTTCACATTCCTTGCTGCGTGCAGCTGAACTTCGGACATATGGTTCAGAGTACAGAGAAATGTGTGTGTGTGTGTTTTAAAACATGTTTAAGACATTTCTTTGATATAATGCACTAAATAATTCACAGAATCCCTGTTAAAATAAAGATGAAAGAAGCAAGCTGTTGTATACTGATTTAATCAAAACCAGAGACAAAGTCTCATGGGCAGACTTTGAAATCAATGAAACTGATTTTTTGTAGTTTTTACATAGTATGCATGAGGATGGAATGAGTATCAGTCTCGTCAGACTGAAGAGATCACAGTCCAGCTATTCAGTTTGAATTTCCATGACACAAGAAGAAACAGAACATGGTAGATAGAAGCTAATCCATGCAATGGTACGATCAGCTAGAGAGAGAGAGAGAGAGAGGAAAACTGATTATGGAACAGAATAGAATAGAATTGAATAAAGAGCGAGAGCTATTTATACATTAAAAAACTGTGCTTTGGCAAGAAGTCAGAAAGTAGAAAAAAAAGTGAAAAAGGAGGCATGTGGACATGGAGAAAGAGGTCAACACTGAGAGAGTTCATGGGACTAAGAGAGACAGATGGAGAAGTGTTATGACCTGCTGGTCTATGCTATAGGGAAGCTGTCAGAAACCAAGTAAGAAGGACAGATAGAGAAGATGTGGAAGAGAGAGAGAGAGAGAGGTTAAAACAATAGTTTTAATTAATGTAAAAGAATGAACTCTGGTGACTGTGTAAACTTAACTCTCCTAAACAAACAATGTTGAAGCAAAGCTTACTTGTGTAACGGTAGAAACAAAGCTTTTTGACTGTTTGAATGTTAAAATTTGGAAATAATACATTTATATACTAACTTTTGTTACAATTGTTATGAATTTTTAAACTGAATAAAGATTACAGTTGCCAACTTCCTATCACCACAAACACTGAATGAACTATTGTTCAAATGAGTGTCCACTACAGTTTATTTTAGTTATGGAATGTAAACAACAAATAGCCTATAGTAGCCTAATTCTTGAAATAAAAGTGCTTTTTATCTGTCTGGATGTCCTAAAAAAAGAGAGGTAATGCTTCACCGCTTTTGTCAGCATGTTGATTTTATGTGGTCATAAATAAAAAGAACACAATGACAGATAAACACTGTCATACAACATTATAAGAAAGATTCAGATGTAATCACCATGTTTGGATGTATAATTAAACCCTGAACAGTCAATATGACATTTAAAGTGCTGTCCATGGCATACTGAATATCATTCATTTGTATTGGTCTATTCCTCATGGAATTGCAGCCATGGCATCAGTGGCGGATCTAGAAAATTTTATATGGGGGGGCAAAGGGGTGGCAAGAGGTCTTGGCAGGGTGGCAGGGGTAGACGGTACATGGGAATCCCTATATGTGAATTGCTTTAACAAAACAAACACAAAAACACTTTTAATCATTATTAAATGATTAACGTTATTGTTTAATCATGCCCTTACACACTACAAAGGTTTTTAGGAATGATTTATTAACAAATCCCTCTGAAAATATCTTCAGAATACTGCTAAGTGTATAACTGGAAAGTTTGGTGTACATAGGTGCTACACAGGCTGAGATGTTTGTACTGGAGAATGACAAAAAAACTAATTTTGAGAAAACAGCATTTAAAGATTTGTAATGTAAAAATTCATACTTTTTTTAGTGGAAACAACTATTTACAGACACAATATCTTACCAAATCATTAGCAACAACAATACAAACCACCTAAATCACAGCATTTATGGCCTTCAACTGAACAGAAAAACAGTCAAAAACGCATATCTAAATGTCAGAGCACGTCACGTGATGCATCTGAACGAATCACGTTGTCAGAAATTGACATCAGCCAATGAGATTTCGGTTTTAGAGTTAAATGCCCATTGTACTTTCACGATTGGTTGCTGACTAAAAGGAAATGACCATATTTGGATACGACAACAATGTACAGGAGAGAGAGCTTTCCAACAGAGATGTATGTGATGACATCGACATGCAGCGATCGCGG